TCTTCCTGCGCCATCTGAACTCGAAATGACTCCTCACTCTAAAATCTATGGGGCTAGTATACCCATTAATGATGGTCCTTCTGAAGCAATGAAACCATCAGAGTGTGTGTGTGCGTGGCGGGGGAGAATCGAAGCATGGGAGCTGAAAGATACGGATGTAGCTGGGAACACCATGAGGCCCTACAGCTACAGAGCAGGAGAGAAACTCTGCAAAATTCCCTTCATGGGGTTTCCAGTGCAATCCCCCTTTGGAGAACAGGGGGGAGGAAATGACTGTTGCTTCCATGTCACTGGATGGCTCATCGGTAGCAGGGACTGAACCCAGGGCTTCTGGAACTAAAAAGCACAAGCCTCTACTGCCTGCATTAGAAGGCCCAGGTGTATTACTTCAAATTCAGTAGTAGACCCATAGGTCTGTGTAGTCCAGCTATAGAGGGGGACAGAGAGCCAAATGTAGTAAGTATAACCTACACATGGAAGAAGGCCAGGATCTGGCCAGCAAACCCTACAGATGCTTAAATGGGATATGCTGCATCACAACATAAATGCATAAGTGGGAGCATGGCAGGGAGAAAAAAAAGCTTGAATTGATCTGTATTTGGGTTACACTACAGATTCCGGACACGGAGTCCTGTACTTGGGAGATTGTTACTTATTACTAAGGACAATTTCCCTAAAGCACCATTATCGCTAGATGCTAGAGACATTACATTCAATTCCGAACCTCATCCCTCCCCTTACCCCAATCAAAAAGAAGGGTTTATTTTAATAAACATTTAACTAGGTATATTGGATGTTGATTTCTGAAGCCTGCAGAGTAGACCCTTCGGGGGGGGGGGGGAGAGGGTAAGATGGGTGGGGACGTGCTCCCATAGCACTTGGGGTATGAAATCAGAGCAGCAGTGCAAGTCCCATCTTACTCCAGCTGTAAGAGTGAATTCCCCCTCACCGCTCCTATCCCCCCAGGCAGACTAACCTAGCAAAGAGACCCAATGACAGCTGGCTCAGGTGCTCTGCAAAACCACTATGGGAGCAGTGATGGAACCTTTTATTCCCTGCACAGCCCGGAGTCCCTCCTCTTCTTGCTCTCTGGCAGCTGTAGGGTTTGCTCACATCCTCCTGGCAGACTCTGTTCCTGCTTCCCTGTGCACCTCAGTCCTGACTTGCAACATCTGACATTCCAGTCCTGAGACTCCTTTAAGCTGTGACTGTCAGTCAGGCTGCAGTAGTTTTTGTTTGGCATTTACAGACTCTAGACAATCTCTCCCCAGAGGCTGTTCAGAAACAGAGTAAGCTGAATTTCTGATCAGGGCTTCAAAAAATACTTGTTGTTAGACTGGCTGGAAAAGGACCTTGCTTGGAGCTACTTAAAGAAGAGCATTCTCTTATTTTTTATGCAATTATTGCAAAGATATTAGAGCACAAAATTGCCCCTGGGATTGGAAGATGGAATTAAATCTTCCAGCAAAAACTAGGAAATGGATCCTGATGTCTCTATTAGTAGCAAAATGTTTCATACTTGGAAATTGGCAATCTAGCGCCTCTCCAGGGAATTCAGAATGGTGAGAAAAATAGTCAAACATAGTGTTAAGGGGGAAACTTCACATGGAAGACAAAAGAGGGAAAATGCACACTCCAGTGAGATGTGTTATGCATGGTTGTGATATAAGACACCTTTTGTATAGGAGGTCATTAACGACCACCAGCGGCCCAGATCCCCTGTGTTCCTGCAGTGCAAAGAAACCATAAGCATGGGGCAGCCAACCACATACTGCTCATTCCAGCATAGGGGGAATTGACCAAACTGGCATTGTGGTTCCTAAGCCACTTCACCCGCCATTTGGTGGGAGGGGTATGGCCGGAGCACGCAGTGTGGTCAGTACTAGGGCTGGATGGAAGTGTTGCACTGAAACATTTTTTTCGATAAAAAAATGACATTTTCTTCAAAATCAAATCATTTCAGAAACTGTGTTGATTTCAAAGAACAGTCTCACGGGAAGAAATATTCAGAAACGAAAAGCTTTTTCCTCAGGACAATTTTCATTTCAGGGAATACCGAAATGAAATTTCATTTCAGAACTCCAAAAGTTTGTTTCAAAATTTTACTGTATGGGGTTTTGTCAGTTTCAAATTATTTTTACATTATTTCATAACACGCCAGTAGTAGCAGCGCATAATTTGTGGCTCCTGTTGAGTTGTTGACACACAGTGTCAAACTGTTTCATAAGAACAGGGACAGTAGAAACTTTGATCTAGAAAAACAAGATAAAATATTTCAACGTGTACTAAGCAGCAACCGCCCTTAATGACTGAAAATTAACAAATAAAAAGACTATTTCAATTACTACATCAGATTATGACAAGTCAGCAGCAGTAGCACATATTATGCATTCCTAGTACGGCCATGTTGTGAAATAATGTAAAAAAAAATTATAAATATAACAATGAACAAATTAAAATGAAATTTTGGAATTCCAAAAGGAACATTTTCCAAAACTCAAATCTTTTGGAAATTCTGATTGATGGGAAATTTTGAAAATATTTGTTTTCCTTCTGATTTGGACCAAGAACAAATTTTGAAATTTCCCGTGACCTGAATATTCCAAGTTTCAGCCATCTCTAGTCAGGACTTTCCTCTGTCTTGACAAACTGCAGTTGATCTTGGAGCCATTTGCAGGCAGTGTAAATTAGAGGAGCTCTTAGGCTGCTCTAACTTGTGCCACATGACCAGACTGGCATGCAGCTGGCCCAGGACTGAGGGACAGTAAAGTGGCTAACAAGTTTTTTTTGCAACCCCACGGCTGCTTTGTATTGTGCATTCATTGGCCATAGCTGCAGATCTTGGCTAATATTTCTAGATTACATTTGTGGCTACTATACATGGGCCCTGTGTCAGGTCTTAACTGTAAAAAATTCCCCCCCCCCCCCCCCCCCCAAAAAAAAAGATGAGCTAAAAGCATAAAGCAATACATATGCTTGTAGTTGCATTCCTTTGTCCAGAGACTGGCAGAAATGGCTGTGATGTTCATTTAAAAATGTCTCATTGTTCTATTTTGTTCTCTATTTAATTTTTCATTAAAGCTTTTTAAAAAAGCAAAAAAAACAACAACCCAGAGTGCATCAATACGTGCTTAAACAATGCATAGTTTTTCCTGACTAATGAAGTTATCAGACAACGCCTGTAAAATATGCAGCTAAAATTAACTCCTGTTTGAATCCTTGCTACAATATCTGTTTAGAACTCTCAAAACACTTAGGCCCCAATCCAAAGCAAAGCACTGAAGCACATGCTTCACTTTAAACCCCAGTCATTTTATGGAAGTTAATGGAATTACTCACACGTTTGAAGTTAGGCATGTAATTAAAGTGCCTTAACACTAAAGATTAATATTTGGTGCACAGTAAAGTTGTCTAGGGGATTTATATATAGAGATCCATTTTAATGGATATATACACCATCCATTAAAATTAACAGACTGTATATAAATCTGCTAGGCAGCTTTGAAAATCTCAAATACACCACTTTTATACATATATATATATATATATATATTTTTCACACACACGCTCTCTCTCTAATATGTACTTTATATGTAGTGACATAGAAACATAAAATGGCCTAGCAGAAATTCTTTGAACATAAACTGGGTATATGTGAGGTCAGATTTTAATTGTGGCTCAATTAGCAGCAAACCACTGGTGCTACCTGCTTATTATTAGGCTCCACAAGCAGCATGAAATTAATATTTTAATCTTTTCGTCACTAACATGGTCCTTGTTAATAAAATTATTCCGGCACCATCCATGCACATAGCTGGTGTAAAAATACAAAAAACAGTACAATATAAATGCAGAATAAATTCAATGCCACCTTCATCTGGTGAAAAGAAAAGAACAGGAAACCAGCCAATTTTATGTCTTCTTTCACGTCACCCACAACAGCCTCAAAAGTAATGTTCGCCAAACCTCAAACTTCCACTTAAAAATATCCCCAACAAATTCTTCTGAAGATCCATCTGTTCCACAGGTCAATCTATCTACAGTCACCACGGTTCCTCGCTATATTGTATTGCATGCACGGATTTGAACTATTTGGAAGAGAGACTTTGATGGCTGCATGGGAAGCCTTTTCAACAGTACACTTGCTATGCCATGGACTTGCCCTGGCTCCATTGAAGACAATGGGTGTTTTGCCATTGACTGCAATGGGCGAAGGATCAGTCCCTATATACATAAGTAATAACCTCCTGGCCTGAAGTTAATGGGGAGGTAGGAAGGATCCACACGACTTTTGAATTAAATCAGATGGCTTAGCTATCATTGTGATAATTCTAAAGAATAACCCTCTGATTTCTTTTGTTAAAAACAACAGTCAACTTGGCACTTAAATGTGGGCTGAATTTTTGACCCTAATCACAAGAGCATGTACGTGTGTGTGTGTGTGTATATATATATATGTATATATATACACACACACATATATACACACATACACAAGAGGATGGCACTCACACATACATACACACACATATATATACTGTCACCTTGCATGAAAAACAATTTAAAAATATTGCCCCCAAATACTTATGTACAAAGACATCACAACAAAACCAAATGAGTTAATAACCCCAATGGAAAACTCTTCCCAATGGAAAACTCTTCCTGATGATATCCTTACCAAATAGTGACCTATATTTTAATTCCCATTAACACACCCAGCTACCAGAAAGTATCCTATTTGTACTTTTTTTGTTGGTCACAGGCATGGTCCAAAGCCCATTGAAGTCAATGAAATGACCCCTCCATTGATTTCACCGGGCTTTGGATCGGACTCTAAAGTCTCGACCCAATCCCAAGGGGAGTTTTTCCCAAAGAGTTGCACTTTCCCCTCCTGTCTAGGGAGATGTAATTTTTCAATGTTATAGAAAAGGAGACCACAGAAAGGAAATGGATGCTTTTGTACACAGCAAAACTCATCTGCTGAGAATTTCTTTCACTACCTGCAGAATAAGGCTCTTGCTTCTCAGTGTAAATGAATTCTTTTCTTTCATATTTGGCTCTGATCCACTGTTCTCGTAGCAGCCTGAAAAAAAAAAAACACAGAAAAGGAGACATAGTCCAGAATAAGCTAAAAAAGAATTTATGATCATTAATTCTTCAATGGAAATGCGAGTGCAAGTTGAAAGCCCTCCAAAAATTAAACTGTACACCAACCGGAGTCATTGGCTTGGCTTGTGTTTCCTCTGTTTGTCATTTAGACCACAAGTTGATTCTTGTACACACAATTCTAATGGAACTTTTTAAAATTTATATGCAAAAATTAGCAGAGTAACTCAGCATCTAGCCTCGGTGCAAGATGTCCTCCTTAACATAGAAGTAATTTCAAATATTATTTCATTTCAATTCGGAATGCTGGGCCAGGAAATACATTTGCTGGATTGCATTCTTTAACAAGGGGGATCAGTCCAGGAACAAAAGAAGAATACTGCCTCAGTGCTGACAGTATACAGCAGAAATCGGGCATGCCTATGGCAATGCATTCAAATGGTTGACCTTTTCGCAATTAAAGATTGAGAGGTATCATCTCTTCTCAATGCCTGGAGCCTATGCAAAGAGATCTCTGTGCATCAACATGAGACGGTACTTCACAGTGTAAAAGAGATGAACTCAAAGCGCATAGCAGAAAACTTTGTAGAAAACCATCCGTCTATTGTTAAATGCCCTACATTTCCAACTGAAATCTCCAGAAAGAAAACTGGTGTCATTTATATGGCACACAAGATCTTTATTTCCAGAAAAACCATTTAGATCAAAGATTACAAATAAGTTAAAAATAAAAAAGTGACTGCTAGCATTAATCAGGGGACCTATGTGAGTTTGGCCTGGAATTTGCTGTAGCCTCAAGACTGTTTTAATTGTTCCTGTCTATTGACCTACAATCTTAAGAGCACCACGTGTTACTCCAAGTTTGTTTCTTTGTGGAACATTTAGAAATAGGTTAACTGATCTCAGCAAGAGTATCACTCAGCAATGGTCTCATATGGGGTTAGATTTGCTCATCATTTGCAGAGCTCATTGCACTTCTACCCCATCATATCTGTGTGACCAAATAATGTGTGCACGGAAGGAGTGTCTGCAAACCCAACATGTATTTATGCTTTTACGAAAATTAAACACAGTATCTGCTTGGCATAACTTCCTCATTCTCAAAAAATGCTTCAGAGGAAAAAAGGTGTTAATTTTTTAAAAATTGATATCTTTGGATAAAGAATGCTGAGATAGCTCAAATGATGTCAGACTTCTATTACATCTGACCTCTCTGCCTTTTCACCTCCCTCTTCCCATCCACTTGTTCCTTCCTTTCCTTTTTTGCCTATTTGTGTATTTCTTTTTATTTTATTGTTACCCTCACCCTAACGTATTATGTCTGTGTAATATTGCCTGATTCTGTATTGTCTGGTCTTGCAACTTTGACAAGTTGTAAAGTTGCGTGATTGCATAATTTTATTGGATATCCTGTGAAATGTGCAGTATTTGGGTAGCACATACAAGCTGTAATTCATTTATCTTTTGTTTTTATTTGTTTCCTTATGAAAATTAATACAAAATTCATCATAAAAATTCATTTCTAGCTTCAGCGAACAACTTAATCAAATTTACAAGAGAATATCCATCCATAACTGTAGGTATAATCATTTCCTGGTCTGTCAACGTGGGGATAGTGATATTTCTTTTCTCCCATCCATTGTCTGTTTTATCTACTTAGATTATAAACTCTTCGGGGCAGGAACTGACTCTCATTATGGGTGTGTCTACACCACAAATGAAGGTGTGACTGGAGCATGGGTAGGCATATCCACGCTATCTTTAATATAGCAAGCACAGGTAACAACAGTAGTGTAGACATGGTGGCATGGGCTAGCCACCTGACTTCAAGCCTGCCAGGGAACTTGGATATGTACTCCGGGGGCTGGCCCATACCAAAGCCCATGTCACCATGTCTACACTACTGCTGTTACCCATGTTAGTCAAATTTAGGCTAGCATGATCATGCCTAACCGTGCTACCACTACACCTTCACATGCTGTGTAGACATACCCTGTGTAGACATACAGTGCCTAGGCCAACAGGGCCTGATCTTAGTTGTGAACTCTAGGCATTACTGCAATATAAATGTATTGGGTCTGGCTTTCCCCCTCTGCCTCCAAATCCTTTTTCGTCTTATTTTCATATCTGATCCTTAATTGTTAGGTTTGTAGCTGTAATTTAGACTGTAAACTCTACAGAGGAGCACAGATCTTGTCTTCTTATGTTTGTAAAGTGCTATGTGGCTGGATTTCTGCGCTGGTGTGAGCGGGAGTTGCAAGTGGTTAGGACCAATGAGGATCATGCCTTAATTGAAGGCTTCAGAACACAGAGCCCACTGATCTCAATGGGAGTCCTTCCACTGGACTTTGGATGAGATCCATGTTTCACTTTAACGCACCCTTGGGGCTGCTCTACATACGTGCTGTAAACTTATTTCTGCATGTTTGATTTTAGCTGTATTTACCATGACGTAGGCTCTACATAAACTGAACTGAAGGGTAAAGAAGTAAAGAATTAAAGAAGTTGGAACAAACAATACATGCCAATACAGGACCAAATATGCAAAACTCCCATTAAATCAATAGGAGTTCTCTAAGCAGAAATAACTGCAGCCATTTATTAGGTTTATAGTGACCAGTGGGCCCCTAATGAGGTTGATATTTCTAGGAATGATCCAATTTCTATTTCTAAACTAGGAAGATACACAGCTTTTGCAATCTGATCCAAAACTTACAACCCACCTAAAGTCTGCCAGACTGTTAGATACAGGGAATGTGTCATTCCTGGCAACTGACTAGAAAGATGGTAGTGGGCTCTTTGTTCTGTAATCAACACAATAGCAAACTGAAATCAAAAATCAAAATGAAAGCAACATTTAATGGAGGAGAAAGAGAAAACAGAACATGAATAGGCTACCACTAAAATAAATGGAAAACTCCCATTTGAAAGAGATGGCAGAACTAGAGGTCTAAGAAGGGGTCAGATGACGTTGTGCTTGAGAACTCCAAATCTCATAATATTTTGTTTACTTGCTTGCCTTTGGAAATGAAGAATGTGCCATTGACAAAGCAGATGGTTTCAGGTCAAAGGGACAGCAGTAAAGGTTCCAGATGGAGTCAGTTGAGTCGTTTTAGTTCTGAGTCAAATGCCATTTAAAATGAAACAAGTAGCTGGCACAGATTCAGGACAAGTCTCTGTCTAATGATGTTTTAAAAAATACCACATCACGGGAAAAATATATTTATGGAGGTGAAATTAATAGGAAAGAAACAGATGTCTTCCTCCCTTCCTCACTGCTTCAAAGCTATTTTCCATTGAAAATATAAAGCAAAAACACCAGAAGTGTCCAATGAAGAGCTGGCTGGAGAATAGGGTATTTTCCCCATGAAAAATGTTGATGAAAAAATTTCATTTTCCATCAAAACAATTTTTCCATGGAACATTTAGGCTTATTGTTGAAAGCCCAAAAACGTTTGGCTGAAAACGTAAAGTTTTGGTTGGGAAAAATTGAAATGAAATATTGGGTTAATCCAAATAGAACATTTCATTTTGAAGCAGTCTGACAAACTGTATCTGCTTGCACTGCCACTGTGCTTCATGGGAGGTGTAATTGGCGTACTTTATGCCCCCGTTCTCCCTGGTTGGACTCAGGGGCGGCTCTAGGTATTTTGCTGCCCCAAGCACGGCAGTCAGACGGCTTTCGATGGCAAGCCTGCGGGAGGTCCAGCTGGTAACGCGGATTCGGCAGCATGCCTGCGGGAGGTCCACCTGTCCGCAGCTTCGGTGTACCCGCCGCCGAATTGGCGCTGAAGCCGCGGGACCGGCGGACCTCCCGCAGGCACGCCGCCGAATCCGCGTTACCAGTGGGACCTCCCGCAGGCGTGCTGCCAAAGGCTCCCTGACTGCCACCCACACAGCGACCGGCAGGCCGCCCCCCCGGGGCTTGCCGCCCCAGGCACGCGCTTGGTGCACTGGTGCCTGGAGCCGCACCTGGTTGGACTACATCTTCCATGATGCCCCAAGTCTCCTCTCTTACATCATGGAAGTCACGTGGCTCTGAGGCATCATAGGAGATGTAGTTCAGCTAGAAAAATCTAGCCCATATAGGAGAATAGGGGCATAAGGCACCAAAACTATGACTCCCATGTAGCACTGTGATGGCTCATGAGGATGCAGTTTAATGTTGAATCAAGCCAAAACAAAGCATTGGGATTTGGGACATGTCCTTTCTGAATTGAAAGTTTTGGTTTTCAGGTGCTGGGTTTTTTTGACAAAAAGTTTCCACAGAAAGCAGACATTTCACAAACAATTTTGTTTAATCAAAAACAATTTTGTTTAATCAAAAACTCAGTTTTCCATCAAGAAACTGTTTTGATTGAAAATTTTCAACTTGCTCTAGTCCAAAGCCAATTTTCCTTGAATAAATGGTCTCCCTCCAGCTTCAGTGTCACAGATATGAAGAAAAGCAAACAAAAACCACTTATACTCTGGTTAAAAACAACACCTGCTCAGTTAAAGTCATTGCATAGGGATGGGCCAATTAAACACCACATCTAGCTCACAGCAGCGTTATTTTTGGGAATGTTGAGCATTTGGGTTAGAAATGTGCAGGAAACAGCCTGTGTATCTGTACTTTTGTAACACAGAACTCCTCTGTGAATTAAATAAATCAATATGAATGAATAGCCTTTAGAATTTATGACAAAAGACAAGATGATTTGTATGGGGAGAGATTCCCATAGCACTGAATCGAGGAAAGTGGGTAGATTACAAGCAATCACGTTCCAGTAGAACTTTCCAAACTCAGCCAAGAGTTTCAGAAGTGACCAGTGATTCTGGGTGTCCGATCTGAGACACCATAAAGAGTTCTGATTTAGAAAGTGCTGAGCATCTGCTCTCTGAAAACAGGCCATTTTACAATGGCTCAAGTTGGGCACCCAAAAAAGTCCATGGTGACTTTTGAAAAGGTTGGCCTTAATACCTTAGGCCTGGTCT